AGGCTGCGCATGTGCCTCTGGAGGAGGCGGCGCAGCGGGACAGCCCGGGGCCTCTGACTCAAAGATTTGGACTTGATTTGGCTTAAGACAAAAAATTCTTTAAAAAAACAAGAAATGTGTCAGGGCATGCGTGTTTACTCCTCTGTCCATGGCTGCACCCACATCCCCTGTCAGTGCAGGAGGAGGCATTTTGCACCCCTGGGTGTCATGGCCCAGCCTGCAGAGAGGTGTCACACAGAGGGATTGTGGAGAGTGTGGCAGGGGCTGGAGGCAGCTGGACCAGGAGACGCTGATGGGGTAACGCTTGTGCCTGCAGCTCCCGGAGGCCTTTGAGGACGTGGCTGTGTATTTCACATGGGAGGAGTGGGAGCTGCTGGAAGACGCACAGAAGGGGCTTTACCGGGACCAGATGCTGAGGAACTGGCGAGCCCTCGTTTCCCTGGGTAACGCTGTTTCCTGCTTCTCCCTCCAGCCGTGTCAGCACTGACCCTTACTGTCTTCTCCCTGCTTCTCAGCGCTCTCATCCTTGTGGACTTTTTCCCTGGGGTTGAAATCCATGGTCTCCGCACAGCTCCTTGTGTGATCACTGACCTCTGACTTCATTTGACCTGGCCTCCTTCACCTTAGCCTTCCCCGTTATAACTCCTGGTGCTTCCGTATCCAGCCATGTCTTGGTGGATGTATCTCCCTTTCCCTTCTCAGCAAGGTTGTGTCATCTCCAATACATTGGGCAGAAAAATTCACTGCCAGCTGTTCCTCGAGGAATTGCTCTGATTTCTTGTGTCCTGTCCCACACGTGTAACACTCTGAGTGTGTTCAGTTAGTGCTTTCTCCTCCTTTGGTTATGATCCAGCATAAGGTAACGGAAGTCCTATCAGCCTGTGGTGCTGCCACCCACAGGATTAGCATTTACATTACTCCATCTCTACCGACCCGTGCACACGCGATGGAATCCGGGATCTTCTGTTTCTGGATCCCTGGAAGCTTCTGCCCACGTTTCTTCCTATGGTCTTCATCTCCACAGGCTCTGGCTTGGTTGTGTTTACTTGGAGACCTGCTCCCAATTCTCTCTGCCATTCACAGAAGTTGTCGTTTCCTCCTCCCGACATCCCCCTGCATGTCAGACACCCGTCATAGCGATAAAAAGAGGTGGGCTCAGTGCAGGAGTGGTGTAAATGGGTTGCCATTTTCAGAGGGTCTCTGATGCAGGGGTTTTCTGGCTTGTGGGCAGGGCTGAGGGACTTGTACCAGGTCAGTTTGCTTTTCTAGTGCTTTCTTTTCCCTTCAGTTCCCCTGAAGGTCTTTCTTTGGGAACAGCTCCAAGGCTTTTGCTTAGTTGTTCAGCAAAGAGCATGTCGGCCATTCCTGCGTTATGGGCTTTCACATGCTGCAAAAGGTGTTTCTTTCTGCCTTCTCTTGTCTTTACCACAGACTCCCAGGACCTTTGTTTCCAACCCTACAAGATTTCCCGGCTTTTGTGCCCTTATATCCCCTCTACGATCATCCTCCCACTGGATGGGATGATTGCTTTCAGTGCCACTGCAGTTCTTATAAAATCCTCTCTTCCCCTGCCCTATTGAGGAAGGACCCTGTCTCCCCGAAAAAAAGTGTAAGGATCAGCCGTGTGTCCTGGACTCTGTTCACTGCTGCCAGGCCTCGCTTTAAACCTTTGCAGAGAAGAAACTTCCATTCCTTGGCCTGGAATGATGCTGATAAGATGGATGTTATCCAGCCACCAGTGTGCCCAGCATCTCTTCATTTTGGTGCCGTTTCAATAGTGAAAGCTTCATCTTTATGCTCTTGAGCACGACACATCACTGCATTTCCACCCCTGTCCCTGTTGTCTCACACCCAGTTTATATCTCCAAGTGGTGGGTACAGTACTATGTTTCCTATGACCATCCCCCCAGCACCCGAGTGACAAGGGCCATCATCTCTTGCATCCTAAATGTCCACCCTCCCTTGTCCTTCAAGGCCCCAGTAGACTCCTTGAGTTTGTTGGATCCATTCCCCAAAACCCAGTTGGTTATTTGGCATCCAGTACCCGGTCATGAATGCTTTTTAACCACTGCCCCAAACAGGATATCGTGGTCCCACCCCTGACTTAATCTGCCGCATTGCGCAAGGACAGGAGGAGCTCTGGGTCTGTGATGATGAGGACCATGGGGACATTTCAAAGTCAGAGGACCTGCTGTCAGGTAAGTTGTCTGCCCCCTGCCCCGACTCTCCTCTCAGAAATGCTCCATGGCCACAGGGACAAGGGCCCTTGGACCTGCAGACCTCTGACACGCTGCCCTTCCAGGTTTCTGACCTCGAATAAGTTATGCAGTCATGTGTCCAGGGAGGTGTTGTTCCCATGCACTGAAACTCCAAATTGTGGAGACGAGCAGCCTTTCCTTTCTTCTAGAGGTGCACTGCCACATCAGTCCAATATCGGATTAATATTGATATAACGAAAATGTGCTGTATCGTATATCAGCCCAATTGGGCTGGTAATTTGGCTGATAAATACCCTAACCCGTTGTAATGGAATGGGTGAGGGGGGCAGATCAGTGCCCCCCCAGTGATGGAAGGGGCAGGGGCAGATGCTGCCAAACCGGGGCAGGGTGGGCCCCGGATGGCAGCGTGGTTCATCAGGGGAGGAGGCGGCTCCCGCCATTGCTTGCACCCCAGGATAGCACAGGGCGGTTGTATGCCCCAGGATCTATGTGGAGCTGCAGCTACGGCTGGAGCTGGCACTGAGTTGGGCTCCTTCCGGCAGGGATGGGACTCAGACCAGGCACCAGCGGTGCCGGGGGGATGCTGCAGCCACCCCAGATTTCAACACCGCTCCATAGCCAGTGCTGCAGCCACAGCCGCCCGGCACAGCTGGGAACAGATCTGTGCTGAAATCTGGGGTGGATGCAGCATCCTCCCAGTGCCACCAGCACCCGCTCCAAACTGCGCCCGCGCTGAGAAGAGCCCAACACAGCCTAGGCCACCGCTTGAGCCGCAGCTGCAGGCCCCTGCCTCAAGTGTTGGCTACAAATGTCCAACTTGGGATCCTTAAAATTCTGGTTTATTAGGCAGATTGAAACACTGTAATGAAGTTAAATCATAAACCTTGGGGCTGGTCCCCGCACACGAGCACACACACACACATGCACACACACATAGCGAGCTACAGGAGTCAAGTATACCTATCCCACAGGCGCTGGAGTCTGCCGTTGATGGCCAGTCGAGGCTTCTTTCAGCATGGTGTTATCCTCCAGAAAGGGGTCACTGGCTAGTCCTTCTGGCTGGACAGGTCGGGTGCTGGTCAAGTTGGAGATCAAGAGGGTGCCGCTGAGGGTCATTTTTCACTGCTTTTTATCTGTCCTTGGCAGACTGCCTCCCCCCCAGTTTTCAGGTTTGCCCAATCCAGGGGTTGTTGACCCTCGTGGGACTTCCCCTTCGGTGGCTACTGGATGAAATCTGTCAGCCCCAGGGGTCATCCGCATATCCTTGCAGGTTTGGAAGTCCATTGATGAATTTTGAATAGGGCTCTGGGAGCGGTCGATCTGGAGATATTCAGCCCAAAAGTTGGTCCCTGGCGTTGATTAACTCAGACCAGGGCTTCTAGCCCTTGATCAGTGAAGTTGAGAGAATTCCCGATTGCTACATTGTCTCCTATTGATTTCTTCCCTTGGTTGATATGTGGTTTCCCTAGGTGTTAAATGCCTCCTGTTATGCATTCAGTCAGCTCTTTCAAGGGTCCGCCTGATACAGGGAAGCGGCAGTTGAATTCCTGCCCTTGTTAACATTGTTACAGTGTATAACTTACATCTGAAACTAAACACATTTAGTTAAAAGGTGAGGAGCATAAAATATAAGCTACAAGAGTAATGCCAAATAGATAAAAATACCAAAATACAAGGGGAGATGCAAAATACACACATACAAACTTTAAAATACAATTCCTTATCGTATACTGAAAGAAAACGTAGAAGAAGAGAAAGATATCCAAAGGGGGGGGAGCAAATGCAGGCAAGAGGAAAAGGGGGCTTTCTGCTACACAAGCAGATCCTGGGACACACGCCCCCACCCCCCACACTCCTGGGGTGCAAGCAGCTGCAGGAGCCGTAACTCCATCCTGTGCGCCCCACCAGTTAGGCAGTGCCTGCCACTGCCCTCTCCCTCACTGCGGGGTGCATTGATCTGTGCTCCCACCCCCACATGCCCCTTCCTTCCCCTCTCCCACCAAAATGGACTGACCAGCTGGAGGCATCTGAATCGGCTATTGGATCTGTATCAGCCGATATGCCTCCTTAAATACCGGGTATCGGTGTCAGCCATAAAAATCTCTTTTGGTGCACCCCTACTTTCTTCTCCCCCTTACTACAACTGCTAAGGGACAACCAAGTATACTGTTTTGATATAGAGGCACAGGCCTGGTTTCCCTGGGATACCATGGTCTTAAATTTCCATCTATATTTAGCAGTGCAAGAGTTGATTCTTCAGCCCAAGGTAGCCATAGCACTATAGCTCCCTCTCCCAAGGCATGATGGGATTTGTAGTTCCCCATGGAAATCCGCATGGTGGGGCAAAGCTCTGTGTAGGCATTATTGTAACACAAGCAAGAGGCCTGGGGCTCTGCCTGATGTCTCCTGATGAGGTGGACCTGGGACCGAGGAAGTGTTGAATCCTGGTCTTGGGCTGCATTGCACAGCTGCATGGGGTGGTGTGGTTCGCAAACTTTCATGTTGCAGGGGGAAGTGGATCCTCCACAGCTCATGCCTTTTGTGTTTTGTCTCTGGGCTATGAATGTCACAGAGCTCAGGACTTAGCAGGAAGTGCACGTGCAGGTTCGTGCCCAGGCCTTTGTCCTAGAGCAGATTCGGATGACATGCAGGCCACCTGGTCCTCAGCAGCGGAAAACCAAACAGACACGTTCCAATCCCCAGACCTTTCCCCGGGAGCTGGAAGGAGGCACAGCCCTGTTTCTTCCAGGAAAGTGACCCCCCCAGCTTTTAACACCACCCGTCCCAGAGCAGGTTTTGGAGGCAGGAGGGAGAAACCACATGGGCTTTTTGTACCTTAGAGAAGAATCTCATGAAGTTTAAAGCCATTCTCCCCATACCCCCCCAAATTCTGGGGAGTCCCAGGAATTGACTGTGAGGCTGTTCTTCCTGGTACCAGATGCTGCTCTCAGGACTGCCAGAGATCACGAGCAAGCACTGGAGAGCAGTCCCACCAATGCACTTATGCAGCCAGGTGGAGGGCTCGGCATCATCTCCCCCTGGACCCGCTAGTGCTGTGGGACAGAGCAGCCCCTAGAGAGACTCCTTCATCCTTTCTGCTGGTTCTGCCTCTAGTCTCTTGGGCCCCTTACAGGAGGAGGCTGTTCAGGTCCTGTCCCAAGACGTGTCCCATGTGGGTTTTCTCCCAGCAGGGCTTGAGAGGATGGGGCTGACAGCCGGGCCAGAAACCCTAAGCATCTGGCTCTGACCTCCACTGACCAGGGAACGTTAGCCGGGTACATGGACATGCCCCTCCCTCACCCCCAGCACTTGTGGTTTGGCAGGAAGACCTTGTTCTCTTCCGAAATCTTAAGTGCCAAGATGCAGTCATGCTCACAGGCCCGTTGCAGCAGTATTTGGCCTGTGCCAGCCGTGCAGGGAATAAGCCGGAGTTTCTCTTCCCCATGCAGGAAGCACCTGGCTGCTGAGTAGAGTTGAGAAGCAAAGTCTAGAAGATGGGTCTGCAAACCTGGAGCCACCCTGGGCTTTCCCCGGAGGTTTGGTCGAGGTGGAGTCCCTGAGACCTGAGGAAAACCAATGGCTCCAGAGCCAGGGGAGGTATCAAAAGCTGAGGGAGAATGTAGCAATGAAGCAGGTGCCATCTTCCCTTGCACGTGAGAGTGGAGAAAGGACAGAGTCCAGAGAGAGCCCTGGGTACAGGGAAGGATTTGTGGAGCTGAAGAGCCATGAGGCAAAGTTCCACCGGAAAGAAACCCTGCCTCCGAACCAAGCCACTGGGGAGGGCCTGAGAGGGAAACAGGACGTGCCCGCCAGGACCAGGGGCAAAGCCCACCCCTGCCCTGAGTGCCAGAAAATATTTCACTGCCCCTCACACTGGGCTCTGCCACCTGAGTGCCCCGAGTGTGGGAAGAGCTTCACCCACTCCTCCAACCTGGCTGAACACCAGCACATCTATACCGGGGACAAGCAATATCTATGCTCAGTGTGTGGGAAGAGCTTCAAAAGTTCTTCCCGTCTGACGCAACACCAGCACATCCATATCAGGGAGAAGCCATACCAGTGCTCTGAATGTGGGAAGTGCTTCAACTGTCCCTCCCATCTGACACGACACCAGCGCATCCATACTAAGGAGAAGCCATATCAGTGCCTTGAATGTGGGAAGAGATTCAAGAGTTCATCCTACCTGGCCCAGCACCTATGTATCCACACAGGGGAGAAGCCACATTGGTGCTCTGTGTGTGAGAAGAGTTTCAGCTGTTCCTCTCACCTGGCCATCCATGAGCGTATCCACAGAGGTGATAAGTCACATCACTGCTCTGTGTGTGGGAAGAGCTTCACTAGCTCATCCCAACTGGCCTGTCACCAACGTGTTCACACTGGGGAGAAACCACATCAGTGCTCTGTGTGTGGGAAGAGTTTCAGCTATTCCTCCAACCTGGCCATCCACCAGCGTATCCACACAGGCGATAAGCCGCATCAATGCTGTGTGTGTGGAAAGAGGTTCACCCAGTCCTCCACTCTGGCCCATCACCAGCATATCCACACAGGGGAGAAACCACATCAGTGCTCTGTGTGTGGGAAGAGCTTCAGCCGTTCCTCCTATCTTGCCATCCACCAGCGCATCCATACAGGGGAGGAACCATATCGGTGCTCTGAGTGTGGGAGAAGCTTCACCCAGGCCGCCCATTTGGTCCAACACCAGCGTATCCACACAGGCGATAAGCCGCATCAGTGCTCTGTGTGTGGGAAGAGCTTCACTAATTCATCCCAACTGACCCGTCACCATCGTATTCACACTGGGGAGAAACCAGATCAGTGCCCTGTGTGTGGGAAGAGCTTCACTAGTTCATCCCATTTGGCCCGTCACCAACGTATCCATACAGGGGAGAAACCACATCACTGCTCTGTGTGTGGGAAGAGCTTCACCCGTTCCTCCTATTTGGCCGTCCACCAGCGCATCCATATAGGGGAGGAGCCATAATGGTGCTCAGAGTGTGGAAAGAGCTTCACCGAGGCCTCCCATTTGGTCCAACATAAGCATATCCACATGGGAGAAGCCACATCAGTGCTGTGCATATAAGGACTTCTCTCAGTCCTTCAACCTACCTGCATACCCTCATGTGTACGCAAGGGAGTGACCACATCAGTGCCCTGAGTGTAGAAAGACCTTTGCTATGTCATCCCACCTGGCCCAGCACAAATGCATCCACAGAGGGGAGAAGCCACATCTGTCCTCTGTGTGGGAAGAGCTTCACCAGTTCCTCTGACCTGGCCATCCCCCAGAGTATCCACACAGAGGAAAGCCACATCAGTGCTTTCTGTGTGGGAAGAGCTTCACCCATTCCTCCAGTCTGGTTTAATACCAGCAGATCCATACGGAGGATGAGTCATGTTATTGCTCTGCCTGTGGGATGAGGCTCACCCACCTCTTCAACCTGGCCGGACAAGCATATGCACACAGATGAGAAGCCACATCAGTGCTTTCTGTGTGGGAAGAGCTTCACCCAATCCTCCAGCCTGGCCACTCCCCAGCACATCCTCACATGGGAGAAGGCACATCAGTGCTCAGAGTGTGGGAAGAGAGTCAGTCAGTCCTCCCACCTGGCCGGAAACCCATGCATCCACACGGGAGAAATTACATCGGGCATCTCAATCTGCGACTCTCAAAAAATAAAAGCAGCTTAAAAAAAATAATCCCAATTCTGCTTGTTTTGTACGTGTGGCCAGTGTACAGTTTTTGTATGATTCACTTGGTCATTGCCTGACAACTTGTTCGCAAGTGTAATTGGGCCGCAATTTTTGTATGATTTACCTGTTCATTTCCTGGAAATTATTTTGCACGTGTGGTGAGGCAACATTTATTATGCGATTGACTAGTTCATTGTGTGATCACTGGCACATGTGACCAAGATACAGTTATTGAATGATTCATCTGTTCATTGCATGGCGATTCCTTTTTATGTAGCCATGCTACATGAGTCACCTGTTCATTGCATGACAGTTACTTTGCACATGTGGCCAGTCTACATTAATTGCACAATTTACCCATTCTTTGTGTGATGATTGCTTTGAACAGGTTGTGGCAGAAAGCCACCTTTGTTTCTCGCCAAAAAACTCTGTGACAATCTTGATTAGGATGGGCCCAGCAGAGGATACATACCTTTACCCTATCTCTTTAGGTAACCTGAGCTGGATACATTCCTGAGGGGGGGGGAAACCTGCTCCCTCTGCTTATGTGACTGGTATCACATACCTGGGTGAGGGGCTTCACCCCTGGTGGGGTAGAGTCTGCCCGGCAACTAGTGATGTATTTCAAATTGGTTGGCTTACAGCCAACAGGTGCGGGCCTCCATTGGACGAGGTAAATGAAGTCACAAGGGCTATATAAGTTAAGGACTGCCCAGGAGGAGGGGAGCGGTAGCCATGAGGGTTACTCGGGAACAAAGAAGAGCTGAACCATCTGAAACTGGCTCTCTCTCTCAAAACTCATGATCAAGGAACTGCCTGTCTCCAGAGGGAATCTCCAGCAGCCTCTGGATGATACTTGTGAGTAAGCTAACTGAGATCCGGTGGGTGGCGAATTGGCTGGAGGGTCGCACCCAGAGAGTCGTGGTGGATGGGTCGGTTTCGACCTGGAAGGATGTGGGAAGTGGGGTCCCACAGGGTTCGGTCCTTGGACCGATACTCTTTAATGTCTTCATCAGTGACTTGGACGAGGGAGTGAAATGTACTCTGTCCAAGTTTGCAGATGACACAAAGCTATGGGGAGAAGTGGACACGCCGGAGGGCAGGGAACAGCTGCAAGCAGACCTGGACAGGTTGGACAAATGGGCTGAAAACAACAGAATGCAATTCAACAAGGAGAAATGCAAAGTGCTGCACCTAGGGAGCAAAAATGTCCAGCATACCTACTGCCTAGGAAATGACCTGCTGGGTGGCACGGAAGTGGAAAGGGATCTTGGAGTCCTAGTGGACTCCAAGATGAACATGAGTCGGCAATGTGACGAAGCCATCAGAAAAGC